AGGCCGAGAAGAAGCGGCGGCGATTCGAAATCGAGGATATCATTCTGAGTGCCTTCAATTATTCGGTTTTCCCATCGTTTTGGGCGGGCGTCGAGGTCAATTATTTGGATTCTAAGCAGCATTTGATTACGGTAGGTTTTTTTTTCTGAAAATTTAGTACAAGGTATTTTTCCCAACTTTTTGATAGCTACAAAACTAAACGAGATGTAAGCGCTCAAAGTTTTGGACCCGAAAACACAGAAGAACGAGAGTGCTGTGTCTAAAGGCNCGCTGCGTCTCTAGCTTCAAACTTCGAATGACCGTATCTCAGCTTGTAGAAGACCTAGAAAGTTGAAAGTTAGACGGAACTAGGTGAAACTGCGTATAGATTGGGAAAAATAGCGTTTTTTGAAAATTTGGAAATTTTTTGATTTTTTATATAATATTTTCGAAAAATTTCTGAAAATGCATACCATTTCATGACACTCAAATTTTTTAGAAAATTCTGTAAAAAAATAAACTCTTCAGCTTGTCTTGGAGCCAAGATACAGTCATCTGAAGTTGAGAGGAAACGCAGACAACGAGACACTCTAACTGTCTGCGTCGCCTCAAAACTTCAAAGCGCTATATCTCGGCTCCCAGGATCGCTAGAAATGTGGTTTTTGAACCAATTGGAAGCTGGAAATATGATAAACGAAGATAAGAAAGAACCAATTTTCTAGCTCTATTATGAGCCAAGATACAGCCATTTGAAGTTGAGAGGAGACGCAAACAGCGAGACACTCTGACTGTCTGCGTCTCTTTTAAACTTCAAATGCCTGTATCTCGGCTCCCAGGACCGCTAGAAATCTGGTTTCTGAACCAAATTAAAACTAGGAAACGGGAGAAATCGGAAATCTGTTATATGAGAAAAAAAATCCATAATTGTTTCTTTTAATATATCAATGATGATAGATCATCCGATATTGATGATGACGACACACACAAATGATGAGGAAGGGGATCTGCAGGATGGGGAAATACGTGAGAGAGATAAGAAAGAGATACGAGAGATCTGTGTATGTTGCAAAAAGTGAGTGAGAGACACTTTGTAATACGGAAAAATTTCAAGGATTTCGTTTTCTCCGCCACGTGTTTTTTGGAGACTGACTCAGGAAATTTCTGAGGAAATTTCTAGGTTAACACCACTCCCTTTTTACTATACGGGCGGTAATAAAATGGGTGTGACACTTTTATTGTCTTCTTCTCATAGTAAGGAAAGGTCATTAGCAATAAACCGTTTCTTACAATATTCTTGTAAAAAGGAAGTCTACTTTTAGAAAATGCAAAAATAAGCAAGTTTCTAGGCCAGCTGGAAGCTGAGATATATCTGTTTGCGAGATGAGAGACGCAGACGACGAGACACACTGCGTCTCTAGCCTTCAAACCTTTAAATCGCTATATCTCGGCTTCTAGGAACGCTAGAAATATGGTTTTTAGTCCAAATTGATTCTGAAAATGCATAGAATTTAGTTATCGATAAAAAGCTAAAATGATCATGTTTTTAGCTTCTCTAGAACGCGAGATACGGTTTTTTATAGCTTTGAAGAGACACAGACAGTTAGAGTATCTGGTTGTGTGCGTCTCTAACCTCTAAAACTTTAAATGACTGTGTCTCGGCTTCTAGAAAGCCTAGAAATATGGTTTTTGGTCAGAAATGATTTAAAAAACACCGAGAAATTTAGTTTTCAACCAAAAATTTGAAGTTTGATTTTCAAATTTTTCTTTAAAAAATTTGTCACACATACTTTCGGTATAAAAATAGGACAAAAATGAAGGGGGTTATTAAATTTTGGAAAAATTCCTAAACTAGAATTTTGAGAAATTTTGGAATTTCAATTTTTTGGTAATCTTTTAATGAAATTTGAACATTTCTAGCGCTTCTAGGACGCGAGATACGGTCATTTGAAATTTTTTTATGAGAGACGCAGACAGTCATAGTGTCTTGTCGTCTGCGTCTCTAACATCCAAAAATGCGAACGGATGTATCTCGGCTTCTAGAGAACATAGGAATGTGGTTTTGGGACCAAAATGATTTACAGAAAGTCGAAAATGAAGTTATGCAGCTTTTTAAGTTTTAGCAAATTTTTCCAAAAAAAAAAAATTGAAAATCCTTTTTATCTACCAAAATTCTCTAAACAATAAATTCAATGATTTATGGATCCTTTTCCACAAAAACAAATATTTTTTGTCTGGAAAAAAATTTCCTTATAAATTAGAGATCTTTCGTTTTGCGTGGGGTGGGGGGGACCAATAATGAGCAATCAAACCTAATAATCTACGCGCCTAATTTAGTACAAATCTAGATTTTTTCTGATCAAATTTTTTTGATCAGAAAAATAGAAAGAATTAAATTAGTGAGTAATTCTGGAAAAAAAACAACTACTTGAAATTCTAAAGCCACAATTTTTAATCAAAGGTGGATTACTGTAGAAGTTCTGGAAACAAAAGGTTCGACCACTCTGGATTACTGTAGATCAGAAAGAAATTTGGATAAAGTTTTTTGCGAAATATTATTCGGCAAATTGGGCAAAATAATTTTTAATCAAAAAGAAAGTGATATCATAATTTTTCCCTGTGAAATTCTCTGAAATTTCAAAAAGAAATTGTTATCCGGACAAATGAAAATAATTATTTTTTCTGAGTAATTCGATATTAGAAAAAATACTTGAGAAGTCTCAAAAAATAACCAAAACACTTGTTTTGATCTACAAAACAATGAGAATTCCTAAAAATTTTAAGAAATCAAAATGTTCAAAATCTTAAACATTAGAAATTTTATAGAGAGGCTAATGATTATAAAACATTCCAAAGAACCCCAAAATTTTGAATTTCAAAAATTGGTAATTTCACTAATCGTCAAATTTATATGCAAACAATTTTTTCTCATTTTTCTTAAAAAAAAAGATGAAGCCAAAAAATTGTTTTTATTTCCTCCACATCTCCAAAATTAGAGCTTCATTGAAATTCGAACCATCGAACGATCAATTTCCTTATTTGCTTTTCGCCCCCAAAAAAGAAATAACAAGAAGAATCAGAACACAATTTTTCTAGGTGGCCTAGAAAAATCTAAATGTTGGATTTCAAGGCCACCGAAATCTAGGCCACCAAGGAAATTCAATTTTCTGGATTTTCAAAATTTCAGAACTTCAAAATTTTTGAATTTCTGAATTTCTGAATTTCTGGATTTCTGAATTTCTGAATTTCTGAATTTTTGAATTTCTGAATTTCTGAATTTCTGAATTTCTGAATTTCTGAATTTCTGAATTTCTGAATTTCTGAATTTCTGAATTTCTGAATTTCTGAATTTCTGAATTTCTGAATTTCTGAATTTCTGAATTTCTAAATTTCTGAATTTCTGAGATTCTGAATTTCTAAATTTCTGAGATTCTGAATTTCTGAATTTCAAAATTTCTGAATTTCTGAATTTCTGAATTTCTGAATTTCTGAATTTCTGAACTTCAGAATTTCTGAATTTCTGAATTTCTGAATTTCTGAATTTCTGAATTTCTGAATTTCTGAACTTCAGAATTTCTGAATTTCTGAATTTCCGAATTTCTAAATTTCTGAATTTCTAGATTTCTGAATTTCTGAATTTCTGAATTTCTGAATTTCTGAATTTCTGAACTTCAGAATCCCAAATTTTCAAAATGAATTTCAAAATTTCAAGAGAAATGTTTTTTCGTGATTTTTGAATCTTTTTATTTGTAATCTGACATCATCAAAAAACGGATTTCCGAATCGCATAAATTTTCGAAAAGTTTAAGGAAAAAAAACTTATAAATTTATTTTTTTTTCTCTGATTTTTCGTCACTTCTCTATTGAAGAAAGTTTCATGAATTATATATTTTGAGTGGGTTTTCTGAGATTTTGAAAATTGAAAAAGGCAACTTATTGAGAAAAGAGGAAGAAAGAGAATTGTCTGGAAGTGACAGGAAAAAGAAGTTTTTGCGAAAATTTAATTTTCAAAGTAACAATCTTTTTGTACTTGTTGGAATGAATATCAGAATCTCAGAATCTCAAAATTTCGGAATCTCAGAATCTTAAAATCTCAGATTCTCAGAATTTCAGAATCTCAGATTCTCAGAATTTCAGAATCTCTGGATTTCAGAATTTCAGAAATTCGGAATCTCAGAATCTCTGAATTTCAGAATCTCAGAATCTTAGAATTTCAGATTCTCAGAATTTCAGAATTTCAGAATCTCAGAATCTCAGAATCTCTGAATTTCAGAATTTCAAAATTTCGGAATCTCAGAATCTCAGAATCTCAGAATCTCAGAATCTCAGAATCTCAGTATCTCAGAATCTCAAAATCTCAGAATCTGCGAATCTCAGAATCTCAGAATCTCAGAATTCCAGAATCTAAGAATTTCAGAATCTCAGAATTTCGGAATCTCAGAATCTTAAAATCTCAGATTCTCAGAATTTCAGAATCTCAGATTCTCAGAATTTTAGAATTTCAAAATTTCGGAATCTCAGAATCTCAGTATCTCAGAATCTCAAAATCTCAGAATCTCCGAATCTCAGAATCTCAGAATCTCAGAATTCCAGAATCTAAGAATTTCAGAATCTCAGAATTTCGGAATCTCAGAATCTTAAAATCTCAGATTCTCAGAATTTCAGAATCTCAGATTCTCAGAATTTTAGAATTTCAGAATCTCAGAATCTCAGAATCTCAGAATCTCTGAATTTCAGAATTTCAAAATTTCGGAATCTCAGAATCTCAGAATCTCAGAATTTCAGAATCTCAGAATTCCAGAATTTCAGAATTTTCTTTCCAAATCCAAAAAATGGAAAAGAACCCAATAAACCTAAATGGTCCTTTTACTTCATTTTGCTTTGTCCCAAAAAAAAGCAGACACGACTACTTTAACATTGCTCACACGAAAAAGGAAAACAAGAAAGATTTCACCCTCTCCCTACTCTGTCCATTTAAATCTGAGCAATTGGGTTTTCCTCTTTTCATGAAAATTGAAAAAAAAGAAGACGAAAAAGGAAATGGGAGGTCTGGGTATAAATGAAATGAAGGACTTTTATTATTTTCAATAAATTTGTCTTTTTCCAGGAAAATTAAAATTTTCTGATGCTAGGAAAAGTGGAATTTACTAAAAACAAGGATAATTCAAAATTTCACAACAATGTTTTGAATTCCGCGATTTTGAAACTGGAAAAACTGAAATCTTGAAAGTTTAGAATTTATATTTTCTGGAAGATTCGGTTCTCTCGTATATTTTCTATATTCTGAAATTCTGAGATTCTGAGATTCTGAGATTCTGAGATTTCGAGATTCTGAAATTCTGAGATTCTGAGATTCTGAAATTCTGAGATTCTGAGATTCTGAGATTCTGAAATTCTGAGATCCTGAGATTCTAAGATTCTGAGATTCCGAGATTTCGAGATTCTGAGATTCTGAGATTTCGAGATTCTGAGATTCTGAGATTCTGAGATTCTGAGATTCTGAGATTCTGAGATTCTGAGATTCTGAGATTCTGAGATTCTGAGATTCTGAGATTCCGAGATTCTGAGATTCTGAGATTCTGAGATTCTGAAATTCTGAGATTCTGAGATTCTGAAATTCTGAGA